TATCAGGGTAAGTGGTCTGCCATATGAGCAATATTATAATAATCCGACAGAAGAAGACATTTAAAAGTGGGAACCCAGTCACAGAACTATCTTCCGAACATCTGGCACAGTAGGTTTTAGTTAATAAACGTAAGGTCAATTTGAGATGATAGTCAATGAATGTAGTCACCTAAAGGCAAATGTAGTCTTGATGCTCTATAGAATTATTTTATCTAGAATGATAAAAAGGTAGTCCACCTCTCTTCTCTTCTGATCAGTCCACATCAAGTTCTGGTCAGTTCTAGGGAGACTCTTTTAGAAAAACAAACTGAAATGGGTTGAGGGAGGAGTAATCAGAAGAAAAAAAAGCATCTGAGAAATTGCTGATAAGAAATAACTTAAGAATAACACACTGGCTATAATAAAAAGGAGTAACTTGTTTATGGCTGGGAAGAATAGAGACCAAATTTTGGAAGCTACACATTAAAACAGGTTTTAGATCAGCAGAATGAAGAACTTTCTGACAATTTCCATAGCATTTTATCAGTACTTCTTGTGTAGAACTTTCCACTTTCTATCTTTAAAGTTACTTTCAGAAATTACCTCATTATCCACATAGCACCTGCTTGTGTACATATTAGGCCCTGAAATACTTGATGAATTAATTAAAGAGTGTGAGGATGATTAAACAAATGACTGTCGAAACTAGCAAAAAATGAAACTGAGCTGTCCTGTGAAGAAAGGATCCAAACACAGGCCAGTTAATATTTGGCAGAGATATTATGAAAGAAACACAAGTTTCATTTACTTGGTTGGATTAGATGACTTTTAAAGGCCCTTCAAGCCCTGAAGATCTATGGTTTCATGGCCTAGATTTAGGTCCTGGCTTTCTGTTTATTAGCACGGTGGATTAGGCAAAGTCACTTAGCTGCTTTGCTCACATATATACCCTACTTGCTACAAAAACAAATATCAAAAACAAAACAAAAAGGCTAACTGCATCACTACCTTGATTGGCTGTAAGTCTTGTGTGAACTTAAAGTGCCCTGGGGGAGGTGGGTGGAAGCCTGAGCTGGGAGAGAGGAAAAGAATTGTATTATAGGGCTTGCCCCCAAAGGTAAGGCAGTATTAACCCCAAACACTGTTTACCAAAGGGCATAACAACTTCAGGCTTGAAGGGTGGCAGAGTCCTATCTATGGTGGGTCAGTCCCACAAAGGAAGCAATGCCTCAAGAGTATACTCATATATTGCACAGAGGACATAGGGAATAGAAAACAACCACTGGGACAGGTGTTCTAGATTGATCAAAGTCTCAGTACCAAGTGGATGGTATCTGAAAAATTCAGGAAAAAAATGAGGCAGAAGCCAGAGGTATAGGTCAATGTGGAGGGAAGTAGAGGAAGGAAGGCTGTGGTTCAACTTAGGTATTTCAGGTTCTATCTTTAAAGCATTAAAATGAATGGCAGATCCCAGCTGATAGGTCTGGTCCTGAAACTGTACACAATGCCTTGGTCAAAATAAACTCTTCACCCACCCAAGGTTAAACCTGTAGGAAGAAACCATCATGGAATATGGGTGAATCAGAGGGACAGGCAAGACTAAACTGAGAAAGTGACCTATAATTTATAAATGGCTATACAAGTATACATGATTATAATTTAATAATTAGAAAGCTGCCTCTGGAGTCAGATCGTCTGGAATTGAATAAGATATGATTCATTTGACTTAATAATGGGCCCCTGCCTTACCTTCCTGTGTCTCTATTTCTTCAATGGAGGTAATAATAGTACCCACCTCATAGGGTGGTTTGAGGTTAAATAAGATAATATGGTAAAGCACCTGGAACAGTATCTGACATATAATAAACTCTCAATAAATATGAGCAATTATAGATTTTGCCTAAAGCTCAGTGATTTGTTTTGATATACATACCAAGGTCATTTTTTTCTGTTCAACAATCTATTCTCCAATTATGTCTTTGATTGTTTTATTTCAATGGTTCTCAAATCGGAAGTGATTTTGCCCTGATGGACATTTGGCATTGTCTGGAGACATTGCTGGTTGTCACACCTTGGGTGGAAGGGACCTCTGGCATCTAATAAGTGGAGGGCAGAAATGCTGCAAAACATCCTGAGATACAGAGATGCTGCTAAGCATACACATGCCAGTACCCTACACAAAAAATCACCTGATTCCAAATGTCAGTAGTGACAGGGTTGAGAAATCCTGACCTAGATTCATTTCTAGGAAATAGCAGAATTTTATCTGCAGCAACTCTGAAGAAATAAGATAGTATATTCTCTTTCTCTCACTTTCCAAAGCCCTAATACTCCGAAAAGATGGAATGTACAAAAAGCTGCAACCCCCAGTGAGCACTGCCACAAATCTTCTTATCCTGACTTCAGCACATCTTATAGTGTTCTGGAGTTGGGGATGAGGTAGGATTTCCACAACCCAGAATGCAATGGGACACTTTGGTTCCTTCCTAGATTTTTCCTAATTGCTTTCACAGAAGAGCAATTCTCAAATAGATATTCATTGATTTGGTGGAGTTGGGGAGCAGTGGTGGAAGTGGGCACAGGGGTAGGGAAGCCTGGAATCTGCCTCAGAAAGTAGTACCTGCATGTTCAAGGCATGGCAGAGAGGGAAGGTAAAAGGTCTTCATATCTACTTTTAGTTAGGAAGCTTCATTCTGTTTCTGGGAGCATAATGTAGATGGTCTATCAACTATTTTCATTTTTCAGTTATGTTTTGTTGCTTCATGGATGGTGGAAATTCATTTTAGATCCTGGCGACAGATTCAAAAATCTTACCATTTTTGGAGGAGGAGTTGGAGGTTTTCATCTTTTCCGGAACACCACAGGTCTTTTCACTGACAGTTAGGAAAGTCTGTCAGCACTACAAGCTAGATATCTTTTAAAATCATTACTT